TTTTGAGTTTTTAAACCCGTGTTGCACAAAAAGTATTCAATGCATCAGGCTCATATTCATTGGCCGAGTTAATCGTACTTTGACCTTTCGATATTCAGAACTGATTTATTTTTAGCTCCATCAGAAACTAAATTGTAAACCTTGTTTACAATATTTGCCAATGAGGCAAATATTGTAAACAAGGATTCCCCTATAGGAAATCAAGCATGCAAACAACTCAAAGTCTGTGTTTCTGCTGCAAAACCTAACGCATGCGTATACGTTATTCAGCTCTGTCGGGGTCTGAAGGGTGAATGGAGCCAGGAAATGCATTCAGGTGTAGCAGGTAATAAGGAAAACCCTGTGCGAGGTATTAAATCACCCATTAACACTGCTGCTAGTGTGTAAAAAATACCTTTCAATCATAGATAACAAGTATCAAACTGGTTTTGTTGCAATGAAATATGAAAAGAATAAGATTAGGGAAGGTATGAAGATGGAAGAGTGTAAGAAATACTGCCAGACACAAAAGTTTCAAAATTTGCTGCAGTCCTATAATGGCATGCTCACATAGTTGAAGCAAAAAATATGCCAGGTCTACTAAAACCTAGATGTCATGTGCAATGTTATTAGCCAACCTTAAGGGTGCTGATCAGTACAAGCTGTAATGCAACCTGGCCTAAATTAAATCTTCACCATTTTCTCCTTCTTCCAGCTATCTTTTTCAACATACCTTGAACTTCTCCCAGCTGAAAAAACAGAGCTTGATGTGTCAAGGCATAGCCCTGTGTTCCATCTGCACTTATCAGTTCCCAACACTTGTCAGAGATTTGACATGGTTGATTACCATCCGATCCTGTACCAGTCAATCCACTCATACACTGATCACTGGTACTCTCGTCAAAGTTAATAGCAGTCCTTCTAATCTCTGAATTATATTCTTTTTTCATCAGCTTTTTGTTTGTGAATGGTTTAAAGTTCAACCATGGATCTGCAACTTGTTTCCTAAATTTCTCAAAGTATTCAGGTGCTGTGCGTTGCAAATATGGCAGAGCAAGACCAGCTATTTGAGATGCTTTATTGTATAGGTCTTTCACTCGATTCAGCACATTGTCCTCAACTCTTAGTTGGCCATCCTGCACATCCTTAATAATTGATAGGAGAGCTCCTGGGAACAAGATAAACAAAACATAGCACCGCCCCCTGGTTAGCTCAATTGGTAGAGCACCGGACTGTTGTGCGGGAGGTCGAGGGTTCGAGCCCCAGCTGGACCAACTCTCGGGGTCTTAAAATAACTGAGGAGAATGTGGTACCTAACTATAATATCAAGAAATGGATAGATATTCTAGTCTTCTCAGATAAGGACGAATAAACCATAGGCCCCATCTCCTGCAGGGTTAGGGGTAGGAGATGTTAAATTCGCATGCATGAGATTCCTGTGTGGTGGATGTCCTTCCCTGGGATTGGATGGGTGGGTATATCTGCCTAGATGGGCTGTATTGCCCTTTGCAGATTAAAACATTATAGATAGAACATTTAGAAATTGAGATGCAACATTTTAACAGCCAGTAACACAGTCAAGTATGGCCAACCTCCCCTCCCCACCAAGATCTCCATTATATCAGTTTCCTTCACTGTCTCCTATATATTTCTACTAATATGCAATTTCTAAGAATTAGGGGTTTTGATTTGAGGAACAAATATTAACTTACAATGTATTGACCACTTTCATAAATGGCTACCAGATTAATATTCTTTTGTTTAATTTAAATTAGCCTTTCTGGCCTTGTTCTCCAGTTCAAAATTCAAAAGAGTACATTATCTCAAGCGAGGCTAGTGAGGCTAATTTGAATTAAACAAAAGAATATCAATCCGGCAGCCATTTATGAAAGTGGTGTATGATAACCACAAGTTTTGGATGTTCAATAATTGTTCTCTAAAGTGGAGTTATGCCAGGTAACAATACTAAAATCATTAAACTTATGATCAAACTCAATTCAATCACCAAGGTTAATTAACATGGTTGAGGCATCAATTCACTGTTCATGATACTTAGCATGCAAAACAAAAAAAAAAAAAGTAAAAAGCTTTATTGTGTCAATGTATTTAGTTTTCACAACTAATTGGGGACACAAAATAAAATTTTAAAATTATTATTTTACAAATAAAAATAAATAACAATAATGTGTGAACTGTATGATAAAAAACAATAGGTATATAAAAGGTACTCTCTAAGAATTGCAAAGGTTACAGCAGTTATTGCTGTTGTTTAAGAGTGACATTAGATCTTTTTTCCTACATGTTCTTTTTGAAAGATTCAATATTCGAGGAGTCTTTCAATTTATTATCTAATTTCGACCAAATATGAGGTCCTTGATATTTAAGTGAATGCTTTCCATAGTTAAAAGAATGCATTTACAAGATAAGAATCACAATGCATTTGTTTATCATTTGAGAATTACCAATCATAATTCATGAATTAAAGAGGTGGCCATGTTCAATAAATTGACTTCCTTTTCAAGCCCAGAGAAAACAATAAACATTATGGTAAGTATGGATGGTGGGAGTCTGTTTTAGAGAAAATTGTATATCATATGTAAAGATTGTCTAGCAGAGCAAACATTTGTGGGAATTTAAATTCATAAACAGGTGCCATGGTAAAACTCCAGCTAAACTTTCCCATAGAAAAATCATATGTAATTATATAAAATTAATATTTAATTAATAAATTTGTGAGATACAAAAGCTCAAACTGAGAGGTTCTGTGGTGTTTATCATAATGAAATTTTTAATAACACTTTCGAATAAATTGTAATTTTTTAATATGGGAGAAGTTGGCATTGACAGCCTCACAGCAACTGGTAATCTTTTATCTTGGGCTAAATCATAACAAAAAATGAAATCTTCTTTTCAGCTCATGAATAGCTCATTGTTGAAACAATGCAAACATACCAGATACCGTAATGTATCATTTATCCATGATAAAAAAAAAAATGAGTGTTTAAAATTGCCTTCAAGTTTCTTCAGTAGAACAAAGGTGAGAGTGAATTTGGCCATCAAATTGCAGTATCTTATAAGACAACTATTCAAGAATTAATCAAAGGTAGTATATTATGTAAATATGCAACACTCTGGGGTAGACTCAGCTGCAGCATTACCCCTCTCAATTCATTCGCTGTAACTAGACTATACTTTACCACCTGTACAAACTTTGCTTTTCCCGATGACTAAAAATCAAGTTTTTAAATAGAAAAAAAAAAATCATATCTGATTACTTTATCTGAACAAATGAATTTTTTTATCCACATATTTCGCCATTATTTTGTTTTAATTGCGATAAAGAAACAAATATATACACTGATAGAAATGTTTCGCTATTTATCAATTTTCGACCTTTTCCCAATTGATGTCCGGGTAACGGACTAATTGCTTTCCTTTGTTTTTTGGATGCGTTACATAGAATAGTGTGTAAAATGGTTTTCTAGGTTTTCCACGAGGAAATCGAATTGGCGATCGCGAACGTCATCAAAATGTTAACGTAAATGTTCTTTTGAATCGGTATCTAATAAAGCTCTTTTGCAATTAATATTATCTAAATTCTTGTAATCGCAGTTCAGAGTAGGCCAGCACTAAATAATAAAACTAAGTTAATACACAATGAATTAAACAAGCATTCACTCATTTTCTGCTAATAAGATGGAACGATATCACGCGCTAATATTCGTAAAACAAAATATTTGAAGTGGGGCTGCCTTTAGCGATATACAGTACTTTGTCCTGTAATTCTGAGATACAAATTTTTATTATGATTACTTAATTGATACCAAGTAAAACTACATCTATAGGGAAATCTAGGGAAAACCAGCTACATAATTCAATTAAATAATCGTTGGTAAAAAGGCCAATAAACCTAAATAGAACTTATTTGTTCGATGTTTGCATTCGGCTCACCTTCCGCTACTCGAAGGCCAAAGATTCCATCCAAATTGATACTCTTGTATTCTCGTTCATAAAAGTCTAGTACTCTTTCTAAAGCAGAGATGACTTCTTCCGTCATAGCATCGTTTCTCTGATCAAAAGGAAGCACCGATCCGCAAAACGATAGAAACAATATCGTCGAAGGTAAAAATCTCAAGTCAACGATCATGGTCGATTTTTCAGTGATCCAGCACACCTGCGCACCACCCAAGCTCTTCAAATCCTCATTACAATCCCAAATGACAAAAAGTGGCTAGACGACACTATTTAAATTCTGTTGCATTAAACATTCAAATAGCCGTTGATAGGTGCCTGAGGGGTTAACTACCCTCCCAATCAGTTAATCTCGCATTGTTGCAATGTGAATAACTTAAATATTGTTCCTCATGCCCAGATCTCCTCTAAAAATAGTATGTAATGCGGACTTGATCGTATGAGGGATGGAAACTATCAGGGTCCTCCGCAACTAGTTCCACGTGTAATCTTTTGATGGCTGGGGATTGTTTTTAAAAGATTCAAAGCTGTCAGGTATGTGGACATAAATATGGGTTTCACTCAGATAGTTTTATCTTTTCTGTATTTTTATACGTAAAGATACAATGTATATATGGAGTTCATATAATTTGAACTGCGGTCTTAGATACGTATGATGCACGATCCTCGCAGTAGAGAGCGGGATGATAAATCCCGTACAGGCCTGATTTTTTTTTCAGGTCTGATTTTCGCTATTGCATAAAGAGCGCTCTCTACTGCGAGGATCGTGCATCATACGTATCTAATACCGCAGTTCAAAATATATGAACTTCATATATACATTTTATCTGATTTATCACCACGGGTTTATTACGAATCAACTAAACGGCCTGCTCCCAGTTGGCTTCTTAGCTCAATTGGTAGAACGCTGCACTAGTATCGCAGAGGACAGTGGTTTGAATCCCGTACTGGCCTGATTTTTTTCAGGTCTGATTTTCGCTATCGCATAAATAGCGCTCTCTACTGCGAGGATCGTGCATCATACTTATCTAATACCGCAGTTCAAAATATATAAACTTCATATATACATTGCATCTGATTTATCTTCACGGGTTTATTACGAATCAACTTAACGGCCTGCTCCCAGTTGGCTTGTTAGCTCAATTGGTAGAGCGCTGCACTAGCATCGCAGAGGTCAGTGGTTCGAATCCCGTACAGGCCTGATTTTTTTTCAGGTCTGATCTTCGCTATTGCATAAATAGCGCTTTTATACGTAAATTTGATCACATGTTTGATACAAGCACACTTCCGCACTATTGGGGAAAATGTAGTATCGATTTCGATTTCATATAACCGTTTTCTCTTTCGCTTATGTGGAAACAGTTTTTAGATTGTTCTTGACATGTTTGAATTCATGGTTTCTTTTTTTTTTTTGTCAGATTCCTTTTGAATCTGAATATTGCATATAACTCTGTAACTTCGATGAACAACAAGTCATCAGCATCAATTCAACTAAAGCAACAAGACTTAATTCAGAAAGTTATTTACAAATTACTATGAATTACTATGAAAACAAATAAACAATTTCAAGGTTACTTTACAAAATACCATAGTATCAAGTGTAAAGTAAAATGTTTGAGAACTTAAATCTTAATTAGCAAAGTTATAAGTGAACACTGAGTGACGATAAACTTTTGCCTTGAAGACCCCCTATTTTCCTGTTGAATCCGGTAAGTTCCTGTGTTGCCATTCCCCGTCACTCTAAGCCAGCACTGACAAGATGGAACTCAGTTTCTCACGTCTTGTATGGTTGCCCTTCAATCATCTTTCAGTTTGTGAGATTTATAATTTCTGTTCGAACGCAAGTGTTGAAGAAAGATCTCTCATTGCTTGAGTTTGACCTAACATCTTGAAACAGGCACATGTAGTTTATTGTTGCACGTTGTTCTTCACATTTATTTCTTTGGATTTCTTTGTATGCAATGTCTTTCATTCAAAAGTGTTTTCCATATGGTTTACAGTTACCTCCATATTTATACTTAATATACATGATTACTGTTTAACTTAGCTCCTCTGGGCAGAAATCTGCTCTCAGCTGTTCTTTTTTACAGAACCAGATACATGCATATGAACACTTAACACTCTTTGCATTAGTCTGACCATCCCTTTCTAAATTTTCTGTGGTAATTTTTTTTCATTTCAAAGGCTACTGGCGAAGGAGAACAATGAAAATCTTTTACAAAATGAATTACATGTCTGAACTATTAAGTTTCAAGTGTCAATTTCTTTGTAGCCATGCATTGTTTGGAGAGTTGAATGATTTGTTTTGAAATTAAAATTTTGAATTTGTATGGGAAATTTACTGTTTCTTTCACTATAATGTATCACTTAAGTATCATTTATGAAGCAACACAATATTTTCCTTTAACCCATTAATGGCCACAGCTTTTGTGGAAAACTGTGTTTTGAAGCTAGTCAAGCAGATTTCAGGTCACTGTTGTGGTTTTAAAAGCTCAAACTTACCAAAAACCCCTTGACAGCTCGTGCACTCGACGGCCTTTCGATCCAAATGCAAAATGGCGGCCTGAAAATCTCGGGCACGCGCAGAAAGCAAAATTTCGACATAGTCTTTGGGTTGAAAAGTCATGCCCCACTTACGACTTTTACTTTTCTCTCTTTCTCCTGCCCTTTTTTTCCCCTCTCCTCACCTGAAGTTTCTCCTCACTTGCTGGAAATTGAGTAGGCTTCATTTTGGTGTAGAGATTTTTCAGAAACTACTCATTATTTTCAAAGCACATGCTCCGAAAGGTAGGTGGGTAATGAAACACGATTTTCGTGCAGATTTTCAGGTCAAAGTGACATGGTTTTTTGGCTATTTCTCCAATCTCCTTCACTCAATTGCACTCATTCTGGTATCGTCTGTAAGATATTTTCAACCTGTTCAAGTACATGCTCAAATTCATCCTCCAGGGTTAAAAGTGATGACATCACAAGGCATAGAAAGGGTGTGGGTCCCCATGGGCGCATATGGGCGCACTGGACGTCAATAGGTTAAATATTCCTGATTTGCTCATGTTTGCATTTTTCTCTATCCATCTTTCATTTTTTTGCTTTCAAAAACCTCAGGACCAATTACATACTACGAGTAATTTGAGTATAAACCAAAATTAAAAGCAACCCAATGCCATTTATTAGCAGACAATGATGTTAGGAAACATCAGGACTTTTGATTCTAGTCCATATCTGCTGGTATTAATCATGACAAAGTATCAGCAGTACTAAGTGGGCTAATGAAATAGAACAGACATATTGATATACTTACAAGGAAAAAAGAAATCCAGTTCATCATCCACATTCTGAAAACTCACCTCATATGATAAGTGCAGGTTGGAAGATTATATGAATGAGACACTCCTGGAGGATCATAAGTCATGTCAGCAATGAAACTGTCCTAAGTTAATGAGACAAATATTTTGTGTCTACAAATTTTGAATATAGATCTGTAGAAGTTTGGCAGCTGCTAATAAAGATGTCACTTTGTTTCAAGAGTGGTGATTCTAGTAGAAAATAAAATTTCTCAGTCAATCACACAGCCAGTATACTTCAAAACTAAGATAAAATTCTAATCCAGACATGTTGAGATAATGAGAAGTTACTGTTGTAGTAAAGAGAATATAGATAGGATATTCCTATTTGTCACCCATGTTGTTGTTGTGATATGCTTGTTAATTTCCCTTTAATTTTAAAATTTTATCATCAGAAGATGGATGACTTTGAACTTTGGATTTTTTTGGGAACTGTAAATTGTTAAACAAAGTCAAAAGGATTATTTTTAATTTTTACTTTTTGTGGTGAACTGTTGTGCATTTGAGTTCAGTGAGGTATCATGTTGTGAATGAAGTACAAACATTTGAGTCAACAATTTACCACAGCATAAATTAACCTATTACCCAGTATATTAATCAACTGACATAATTATTCTTAAAATATTCAAGATTCTGACCTTGAAATCATTCAATTTCAACAATGAGGGGTGTCTCAAAACACAGACCCCGAAAATGCAGACTGCAGACTTTGAAAACAAAGACCACAGAAAATTTGTTTTTGGCATTTCGAAGGGAACTGTGGTTCACGTACAAACGTCCAACGTTGAGCATGGGACAAAATCATGCATATATGGCTCCTGAAATAGACATTCCCTGGTTTCAAGTTGCCATGTACCACATTCCTTGAAAGCAAAAATTCAAGTCCCTTGGCGATATCAACTGCTGCCAGTTGGGAAAAAGCTGTAAAAAATGTTGAAAGGCTTGCATGCCTGCTTTGATCCTATCGAGGCAATGTAATAATTTGAGGAGATCTAAACCTGAACATCAAGACCGAATGGAAGGAAATCAAAACACTCATATCCCATCATTATAGCAACTGGTTTAGGACAAACAGCAACAAATTCAGCAACCTTAGGATGCTGCAGATTTTGTAATATCTTCACCTCCTTCGCTATGATCTCGATCAGATTTGAGTCTCCCTCGCTAAAAAAAATCGCTTCTCAACCATGGTTCTCTTCAAAATAAAAAAAAAAAATTTTCGAGGTCTGCAGTCTGAGAATAAGGAGAAGATATCTTGAAAGCTGTGTTGGGCTCAAAAGAAGAAGTGCTCAACACCAGTGTTCATGTTGTGATTTTGTTTGATAGCACATGGTTTTGAGAAGCCAGTCTTACATGACCCTAGTGCATGAAAATTTGTCACACAGTGCCTTGTATGACTAAGGCTTTCAGTAAAATCAAATCGTTTTTAAGACATGTTTCTTAATCACAGTACTGAATAACAAAAAGGGAGAAGAATGTCATAAGTGTCCAGATAACATCTGAGTGTACAGCTTTAAAATCCACCTGAAGATCAAGTAGCAAGTGGACAAAAACTTTGAACCGAGATGATTTACTTTGTTTTGCAAACGTCTGTGCAGTTTTTTTAAAAATCGTCTCAAAAAAGGATCCTTTTTTAAGTGCACCAAATGTCGCATTTTCGAGGTCTGTGTTTTCAAGGTCTGTGTTTTCGAGGTCTGCGTGTTCGAGGTCTGTGTCCTTGAGACACTCCAACGAAGAACTCATTTCCTATTTTGTTGAATTCTCTATCTTTTCAATTTTTCTTCTATTAATCAAATAATACATATGGTGGGTGTGAGGGGGGAATGTATTTAGATAGATGCGTCCCATGATATAGCAAGAGAAGCTTTGCCTATCAAATCTTTTAGCTGCATTAATTTTATTGTTAACAGAATATTTGACAGTAATTGAACAATGGGCCCATAAGAGTCAACCTGTATCTCCTATATTAATGTAAAAGTAGTAATGTCCTCATTTTATTCATTTATACTTCTAATTGATTTTAATAGTTTCAACTTTAACCACCTGATGATGTGATAAAACCACTTTTTCCACTCATGGAGGGCAACAGACAAGGCCAGACAATGGAGGAGTCAACCTTTATCACAGCTGTAAATACTGTACCATCAACTGGTTTTGTGCCATCTAATTCTTCTTGTCCTTTATCATATCCAAGAGAAGCTGACTACTTACACTGACCTGTTTTGGACTTTTCCACCAGTTCTGACCCAGCAGACGTCCGGTGTGAATCTACACATACCACCTCAGCTACCTATGGATAGTAGAAGAGATATTCAGAGAGTAGGAGAGTCAACTGACTACAACATGACTGCCTCATTTAATGGATCTGGCATTCCCTTTGTACAGGACAACTCAACTGCATCGGCTTCTTTTTGGCCAAACAGCAGTTTTTCTTCTTTTTCAAGAGTTGATGATTGGTCCCTGTCACCTAGAATGAGCTTCGTCCCAAGATCACACGTCAGAGTCTCAAACTTGACACCTGGTGTGAACATACCACCACAGCTACCTATAAACTACAGCAGCCACATAGAGTCTGCTGTGAGCAACATTACCACTAGTACAGTATTCAGTCCTTGTGTTCCTCAGTCCCAAGACACCCCATCAACATCTTTGTTGTCATCCAATTCTTTAGCTAATTTATCATTTGATTACTCTCAGTCATCTTGCCGGGATGTTTTCACCAGAGATAACCTCAGTGGAACTCACTTGACACCTAATGTGAACTTACCACCACAGCTACCTCTGGACAATACAAGGAGGAGTCATGCAGTGGGAGAGTTTGCTGTTAACTGCAGAGCAACTGTAGACAATCCTTCTGTCCCTTGTTCACAAGACATCTTCAATCTACCAACTTGTTTTGTGTCATCCAGTTCTCCAGCTTCTTTTTCAAGGATTGTCAGTTATTCACAGTCCCCTGCCATGGATGTTCTCACTAGAACTGACTTCAGAGGCTTACCGTCACCATCTGGTATGACTGTACCACCTCAGCTACCAATGAACTATAGAAGGGCTAGCCAGACAGTAGGGGAGTCAACTGTCAACAACTCAACTACATTAGTCAGACCCAGTAACACTCCAGCAGTTCCACCTTTGTCAAGAGCAAAAAGAAGTCTAGCACAATCAACAAACCTTACATGCCTTGGTTCTGCAGCTTACAATTCTGAAAATCAGGTAGGATTTTGGCCAACTGATGATTTGTTCAATTCATTGAGTATCCTTTTAATGTATTCAATGGAGTATTTTAATTTAGAAAGGGACTACTCCAGATTTTTTTCACCAAAGAAAAATTGTTGAAGTAAGCCAGTTTTAACTTTTTACTGAGTGAATAGGTTCCTGTGGAGGATTTTGCATAGCTGAGCATGCTGATATGAATTTTACCTTCTAATTGTAAACAATTATGGGATGAGGTTTTTGTCAGTATTCTGAATAATCAAGGTCCAGGTAAGTGTTATCAGCCGAAGCGGAAGGCTGAGGGTGATAACACTAACTGAGACCTTGATTATTCCAGATATCACAAAAACTAAATCCAATAATTGTTTTATTATACATTTTTTTAAATTAGTATTTTCTGAATCTTTATCTTCAAGTAATTTCTCAATTTCTCGCTGGGTGGATGAAGCAAAACGAGAAGCCATTCTTACTTCGCTAAACTTGTCATTGGTCCAGCAGAAATCTTGCATTGCTAGCGCAACCTACAGATTATTCACTAATCTGTAGGTTGTGCTGTTTCCTAGAATTAACCATAGGCATTCAGCCAATGAGAAGACAGATGGTGACTACAATGTATAATAATGTTGATCATTTTTAGTTTTCTCACTCTTGATAAATAACTAATTATTAACATGAGAGGTTAAATTACCTTTATCCACAGGCAGATTGACATGTGATGTTCAGAGAAGTACTTAGTATTTCCATAATATCAATTTAATAAAACAACTAATTACCCACTTTAAAATTAATTTTACATTCAAGACTGATTACTACATGTATCTTGGTCTGACAAATTTGATATTTTGATATTAGTCAGTGAAGTGGTTTCAATAATGATGGGTACATGTATTTACCCAACTGTGAGGTCAGTATCAACTATTTTCATGGACACTACAGTCCATTTATTATTTCTGATCAGTAAATATCATATAGAAACTAAAACAAAAAAATGGTTATTTCTGGTAATATACTAAAAAGTGCATTTCAGTTTGACATGGCATCATTATGTTTCTTTTGTTGTAGGCTTGTTATTCAAGTGTTCCTTTGCCCAGGCCCTCCCCAGCAATTGCAGTCCAAATTGACTCAAGCAGTGTCTCAATGGCATCAGGTATTAGGTACACCTCAAGATGAGAATGCAGAGATTAAATGCATGAGACTGGTAACTTCTACCAGACAACATGATTGTATTTTGAGACACAACAAACAAACAAAAAATTCTCTAAAATTCTCTGGCACCTAGGGTAAACAAACAATCATACTATCTTGTGAATTAAGTATTTCATTTCATACCTTGCTTTAAACAAATTTTTTGACAGTTAAAACTTTGTGCTCTCTACTTTTAAAATTCTGAAATTTGATTGACTCACTGCATATATCAATGCATTCAGTATTATGATAATCCTTCTCTCCCTCTGAATATTTAATGACTTATAAACAGCTTTTTGATTGGATCATTGTCTTAGATTTGTCATCATCTTTAGTTTGAATGTTTGTGTTTATTTGCACTGCTTGTTGTTTTCTGAAAATAAATGATATTTTGACTTTTTCTCACTCTTTTAATCCTTTTTTTTTCCCGCTCATTACATGAGATCTACTTTCATTACATTTGCAAATACTGGCAAGGTGATTTGGCAGGTGGGAGAATGCATAGAAGTCTACTCTTTAGCATACTTAGATCCTATTTTTCCCTTCTCTATGTAAAATATCTTATAACTTACTGTGTCATTAGGTTTGATTAGCAAATTAAATTCTCTTTGTCCCAGGAAAAAGAAAGGGGGAGAGAGTCACCTGGCTGTGGCAATCAATATCGCAAACAACCCTGAGTTAAATCTATGGATATGGCAGGTTATTTCAAGATTTCAATGACTATTTTGTGAAACCTAATACTATGTATATTTATAATTATGGTGTTGTGAAAGAGGAGATCCATGAGACTGAATATTGTGGAAGAGATTTCTGTTCATTATCGTAAACTATTTGAATTAATTTAGGGAAAATAGTGCAATGCTTTTAAAGGAACTTAGTAACATTGCAGTTTGGTTATGTGAGGTTAATCTGAGGTGGCTCCATCAAACCCCTTAACTTTTTCCTCAAAATGCTGGAAATCATGTTTCCGGAGACGTAATTTTCAAAATAATATCCCAGGAGAGCAGCTACCCTCAGACAATTTCCCGAACCCCCTCCCCACCCCCCCCTTGGCTAAATCCTGGATCCGCCCAATGCCAGTTGATGTAGATGAAAGTTAACCCTGAATTGTTACTTACACCTAAAGCTGATGTTGAGCATAGTTCTTTTTAATGGAACAGTCACATAGAGGATTATGGGTGGTGGGTGTGTGTGTGTGTTTATTTAATATAGTATGAATTTATTTTTAGTGCTGTAATAATTGGTAGCTGTACAGGACATAGGATTCATGATTTAATTCATTCTCCAAACATTAAAGCTTTGGTGGTAGCAACAGTGATTCTTCATTGGAGCATACAAAATGTGTCACTGGCTTTGGCTATTATAATCTATGGTTGTTAATTGTTAACAGCGTCGCTTACTTAAAATTGAACAATACGACTTAAGGAAACAAACTTTGAATTTCTTCTAAATTCTTTGCCATCTTTACTTGCTTTGGTCCTGGGAACTGGTTTGTGCAATTGAACTAAGTTGGAATTCTTGTTTGTTTCCTATCCTGTGATGTGTTCATTTGTTTTACAAAAATTGTGTCGAAAAAAAAATTATTTCTGTAGTAAAACAAGGCACACCAACAGACGAGGAATTAGAGAAATTGGGGAACGAAATTGGTGACCTTTGGATAAAACTTGGGCGTCGCCTGGGGGTCATGGAGCCCAAAATAGAGGATATAAAACAAAGAAATGAGCAGCTGTGTGAGAGAGGATACCACATGTTGATGGACTTGAAACAAGAAAAAGGTTCTGCTGCAACCTACCAAATCTTGAAGGCTGCATTACAGCATGAACTCGTACATCGCACAGACTTAGCAGAAAAAATTTGTTACAATCACGGTAATATTCTCAACAATTTTGATTACATAAAGTCATTGTATGTTGATGTTGACTATATTCTATAATAGTTTAGCGGACGCTGTGCAACGTTTTGTTTTTTTCTCCATGTTTGCTTTAAAGTTACCACGTACGAAGCAGGCGTCATATTAAGGTGGGGGAAGCTACTGAAATTAAATCCCATCTGTGAACCGAATCAGGCTGTTTTCTTGCAGATTTTCAATGTGTTGCGATAAACGAAATGCACCTACAATCAAATTCAGTACTAACAATCTGCTATAACCGAAAGAGGTTCAAAAGAGCTTAATTAAACAGACAAATTAACATAAATTTTAACGCGCAACTTGTATCCTTTTAGCATGGACTGTAAGTGATGGCGAAATCGTAGAAAGTCGATCGCGTCGTGAACACGTGGGGACGTAATTTACTGAGCCAAAGACCCGAGACTTGAAGACGATGAAATGACCAAGGTTTATTTCGTGTCAACGAGGAAAGGTTCAATGGTACTCGTAAATTATCAGACCCGCACAATGTAAGTACTTGGTATGAAAGCTAAAACGGTAACGACTAAAACAGAACGGGTCTTGCTCGTTTGCAAACTTTACAATGACTGAACTTTGGTCATGATAGCATGGACTGAAATAGGCGCGGCGCGACGGGCGCTAAAGGCAAAACAGATTAGCTCAGAGGCTAAAAATAGACAGTCTTAACATGGACAAACAGTTAAGAGATGTTCATAATTCTGAGTGAACTTGCATGCAAAGGCTTCCTCTTAAAGCGAGGAAGTGATTCAATAGAGCTCGGCGCTTTAGAATCTGGTCAGCTTTCTCCGTAAATCACCCACAGGTAGTAGCCATGTTTTATAAGGACTAAAACTTACTCGCCGCTTCTTGATGTTCACAATTCTGCGTGAACTTGCATGCAAAGGCTTCCTCTTAAAGCGAGGAAGTGATTCAATAGAGCTCGGCGCTTTAGAATCTCGTCAGCTTTCTCCGTAAATCACCCACAGGTATTAGCCATGTTTTATAAGGATTACTTACTCGCCGCTTCTTGACGTTGAATACGTGCACTTTTTGTTTCCTCCCAGTAGAAGTGCCTGTTAAGGATCCCTTTGATGTGGAAATCTTTCGGAGCAAACTTGCAGAGTATTACAAGAGAACAGCCACGGTTCCCACCGCTGGGTGGTCCAGAAAATCTGCCGTGAATATTCACAAGATGTACACTGGATTGTCCTGGGTGAAAAAAGAACAAAGCCCAGTTGGGTCATCGCGGACTAAGCTGAATCACTACACTGATGTTTTCGCTGAAAACGAAAACGGATTGCCATCAAACCGAATCCTCGTGCAAGGGGAGACTGGAATCGGGAAGAGCACGTTTGTAAAGAAACTGGCCAAGGACTGGGCTGAACTAGTCGAAAACACCAAAGAGAAGTCAGGTTCTGAAGCCAAACGATTCAGGGGTGACGGAGAAATAGGTGAAGAAATTGACCAGTCAAATGCTGCTAGTTTTAAAGACAACCGTACAAAGGAGAACGAAGAAATATCTTGACACGGCTGTAAAGACACAAATGATGAGGATTACATCCCGTCGCTCCTTCAAGATTTTCAAGGAACGTCCAGTGAGGGTAGATCACGTGAGGAAAGGAAAGAACCGTCCTGTGATAAAAGTGAATATTCATCAAGTGAGGACACGTCAGGTGATGAAAGTGAAGACAAGTCAAGTGATGAAAGTTAAGAAACAACGTTTGTGGATTATGGAGGCATGACCCATTCAAATTTCCTGAAGAAGTTCGAGATAGTTCTAGTTTTTGAACTCAAAAAAGTGTCGAAATGTAGAAGCCTTAGAGATGTCCTAAATGCATCCCATATTTTCCCTGACGAAGATGCAACCCTAACTGAAGGTTTGTTAGATTACATCACCAGAAATCAACAGAACGTTCTACTGGTTTTTGATGGTTACGACGAGTACCATTGCGGAAGCAACTCTGAAATCTATGAAATATTCGTCAGAAATAGGCTGAGAAAATGCTGTGTGTTGATAACAACTCGAATTTCGAAAGCTGGCGAGTTGCGGGAATTTGAAGATGTGCACGCCTAGATCACCGGTTTTAATAAAAAGGACAGGAAAGACTTCACGAAAAGAATGCTTGGTGGCAAGGCGGATGCAAAGGAGTTATGAAATCATCTTTACCACCGAGACTTGGAAGATTTGGCGAGAGTTCCTCTACTGTTACTTTTCTTTTGTAATCTGTGGAAAAAAGGAAAAGATCAGCACTTCCCTGACTCCAAATCAAAATTGTACGAAACGATTGTCCAAAACGTTTTGGATCATAATGAAAGGAAATGTCCTCGTACCATTTTCCGAAAAGTTGAAGATTTTAAAGATATTTTAGTTGAAATCGGAATAGTGGCCCTTGAATGTCTACTAAAGGACGATCATGTTTTCCAATACGATCAACTGTCCACTGCCATCCCTCGTAAAGAAAGTCATATTATCGGCTTACTTCAACTTAGTGAGGACTCAGAAAATGTTCGACCAGCGGTGATGGTATCGTTCATTCACAAGAGCATACAAGAGTTCTTAGCAGCGTTGTATATCACCTACCAATGTTTCCCCGAAGGAAATCTCGGTGAAATGATCGACCGCGCCCGAACCTGGAGCGAATTTTTGTCCTTGATAAACGTTTTTCAGTTTGTTTGTGGTTTGTCTGATAAGGGAGCAGTGAAAGTTTTGGAACACCTGACATCACTGAGAATCTCTGACCCAGAATTGGATTTGTCGAGGATAATACCCGATGAACAAAGCGAGACAATCGTGACATTTCGTCCTGCCACTGGCGAGCAGAAATATTTCTTTGGAGTTGTGCACGATTCGTTTAAAGAAGTTCGATCAAAAATTGAACTTTGGAGACGTTATTTGAATTGCACCGTTGGGATAATCTATGCTTCGCCTGGTAGAAGATCAAATAGTGACATTGTACCGGAACGGAAAATTTTTGATGAAGTCTTAGTTCGTGGCGTGGTGTGGGATGATTGCGGGTATGATTGCAAATTTGATGGCAAAGCGACAAAGCTGTCCGAGTTACTTGAGTTTTTTTATTTCTTACATATTCCGCCTTAAATAACTGAGAATTCGGTTTTTTCAGCTGGAGAATTTGTGAAGAAATTCGAAGCTGTCAAATGTGACAAGGGTTCATTGTGTTGCACCTTTCATTTCCACAGAGACCAGTTTCGGTTTTACATCACTAAACTGCAACTTTGGTGTGATGACCATGCCAGACTATTCAAAGAGAATTGTACCCCATCTCATCCCGCAAGTTTGTGTCCAGAGCTGTCATATCCTGAAATTTCTTAGCCTTCTCGACATCAGCAGGCGAGTCAAGAATGAGATGCGTTGTTTTCAGACAATAATTAGAAATTGTAAGAATTTAGAAAGCATTGAAATATGGCAGTCGAATGAGAATGCTTTAGAATGCCTACAACAAATACCTAATCCTCTTACGTGTCAGTTAAAGGTTGCTAGCGACTCTCGGTTGACATCGTCTCGGGTGTTAAAGCTCGCTGGTTTGTTACCACGGTTTAACAACGTCAACACACTTGACCTTGACTTCGGTATTTGCTCTGTTGAAGCAGTAGTCAAACTGGTTTCTTGCATCAAGCACAGGACTCTTGAGTTACTAACACTGAGGTTCATAAGTCTGACTCAAGCAACAGCCGCAGCACTGGGTCGGTCTCTTCCTAAACTGACGTCTCTAAAGAAACTCGTGTTTTGGGGGATGGTTGGGAGCACCCTACAAGTGGAGGAAATGGAAGCACTTCTCAGAGGATATGATGAAACATTTCTGGCTGTAAACCTTCTTGATTTCTCTAATTTCAACCTCAGAGGTTGTCTTGCTCCGCTTAGTTTTCGCTTCTTTCCCGGCATGACGTGTGTAAGTCATGATTATTCAAATTTGGATGAACATGACTTTCGTGGTTTAGTGGATAGTTTGGAATTCAATCCTTGTCTGACTCATCTCTCGCTACGTGGCAATCCACTGGGTGATTGGTCAAGATGAAATCTATCGTGAAACAAGTACTGCCTCAGGTTGAACTTTTTTATTGACAACATCAGGTTCTCACACCAAGTGAAGGAATTAGACATGGGCATTAACGGAACCAATGATTGTATTCAGTGTCACGATACGTAAGCTGCTTGTCACCGTACCACGCAAAGATTGCTTCAGATTAGAACTTGAATACTCTTCAATGAAAGACAAAATGTTTGTAGATGAAGTAACTCGTGTAATTAGTTTGAGTTCTATGTACGTTTTTTAGGTAAGAAACCCACGAACTCGTCAGCTTTAATCTTTAGCTATCATCTTGTCGAAGGAAATGGTTTTGATCTTAAAGAATGAAGTGCTACAAGAGAATGTTTCATTGATTTAAGACGCCCTTCTGCCATTGTATATTTTCTGTGAGCTGACGAAAACGTTATTCGAGTCAAGAACAGATCGAGTAGTGGAGGGATTCTCCATTGTTACTCCACTTTTGACTTAAAACGTTACTCAGGTTGTATATCTGTTCTGGTAACAGTGGGAATTTTTTAGTAGTCGTATAGTGACAAGTGGTATCTAGTGCCTCAGATGGTTTTGGTAATTGAACATGTTTTCGTTAACAGTTGACCGACACTGAGCTTAAAGCTTCCAATCGAGGTGGCCTCTACCTTGAGTCTGTTGATTTTCTCGCCAGCCGGATTACAATATTGCTGTAACAAAAATGCAACTTGGAAGTCGAATAAATTTAATAGAACGATGATGTTCAGTTTAAGCGATCAAGTTCATGTGTTTGTAATCATTGTTCCTGACAATTTTGTGGCATATTTTACGACAAAAAAAATTTCAATCGACTCTCGGAAAAATCCTTAAAACAATTGCGAATGGTTTCCTTTTAACTAGAAGTTCCTTTCTTGTCAACTGATAAACAAAACCAACTTTATCCAGCGGACTTGTCTTTATGAAAAAGACCACTTTTTTCATCACGTATCACAGCGGTTAAAATCTCAATTGAAGTACAAATTTTCGGAGCTAAAGAAACTCGAATGAAAGGTAAATATTTACAACAGTACTGAATGAAAACTGTTGGCAATGTATGCGTCATGAAGTCCGC